CCATTGTGTGTATGTACCATAGTTTGTTTATCCATTCATCTGTTGATGGGCATCTAGGCTGTTTCCATCTTTTTGCTATTGTGAAGAGTGCTTCAGTGAATATGGGTGTGCATATGTCTATTAGTGTGATGGCTCTTATTTCTCTAGGATATATTCCTAGGAGGGGGATTGCATTTTGTAGTGCTTTTTTTTGTGGTGCTGACGTTTTCTTTGTTCCTCTTACTCTGCTGTGCTGAGTTCCTTTTTTTTGTGGATTTTTTTTTTCATTTCTTTTGTTTTTGTAGGTTTTGTTTTTACTGAGACTTTATGCTTTTCTTATTTATTTTGATAAGTAGGTTTGTTAACTTTCTTTGTGGTTACATTGAAATTTACCCTTGTCTTCCTGGATTTGTACCAGTCTGTTATTACTTGGTATCAGTTGACTTCCTCTCCACTAGAAGGTTCTATACTTACACAATTTATTCCTTCTTTTATTGTTCTGATGCTGTTGTCATTTACAGATTAACCTCTTTGCTTCCCCTTTGTAATTCTTTTGGTTTTGCATAGTCCTTAAGAGTTCATTTCCTAGGGTGGTATCGGGCTAGTACAATCCTGTGTCCTATATTCAGCCTGTGGTCTGATATTGTTTGTTCTCAGATCGAAGGACTCCCTTTAATAAGTCTTGTAAGTTCAGTCTGGTTTTTACATAGTCCCTTAATTTCTGTTTATCTGGAAATGACCTAATCTCACCATCATATTTAAATGAGAGTTTTGCAGGATATATCATTCTTGGCTGGCAATTTTCTTTTTTCAAGGTTTTATACATGTCATCCCATTGTCTTCTTGCCTGCATGGTTTCTGCCGAATAATCCGAGCTTAGTTTTATTGTTTCTTCTCTGTATGTGACTTTTTGTTTTTCTCGAGCTGCTCTTAGGATTCTTTGTTTGTCTTTGATTTTAGTGAGTGTGATTATAATATGCCTTGGTGATTTTCTTTTGGGGTCTATCCTATATGGGGTTCATTGAGCTTCTTGGATGGTCGCTTTTCATCTTTCGTGATATTAGGGAAGTTTTCTGTCAGCAGTTCTTCAGTGATCCTCTGCATTTTCTGTTTTCTGCCCCTGTTCTGGAACTCCGATCACTCGTAGATTTTTGCTTTTGATTGTATCCCACATAATTCTCAGGGTTTCTTCATTTTTCTTCGTTCTTTTTTCTGATTTTTCCTCAAACAGAGTTGTATCCAAGTGTTAGTCTTCAATTTCACTAATCCTGTATTCCATCATTTCAAACCTGCTCCTTAGCCCTTGTTTGACACTGTCCATTTCTGAAATCTTGTTGTTTATCTTTTGGAATTCTAATTGTTGTTTTTATATGATTTCTATTTGTGAATTTATTTTAACATTTTGTTCCTGTATTATTTTCTTGAATTCTTCCATTTTTTTGTCTGTATTTTCCATAAATTTGTCTGCATTTTCCATGAATTTGTCTATTTTTTCCTCATCTTTGTCTGTTTTTTGCTTCAACTCTTGGATAATTCTGAATATTAGAGATTTGAATTCCCTATCGGTTAAGTCTAGTGCCTTTTCTTCTACTGGATGTTCATCTGGTGTTTTATTTTGGACGCCTACTGGAACCATCCTGTCCTGTTTTTGTAAATGTTTTGATATTGTCTGCTGTCTTCGGGGCATTCAGAGTTTATTTTCCTTGTTTATTGATCGTATACTTGTTTGTTTCGTCCTGCTTTTTTGTTTTAATTTGTTATGTCTGAGCAGGCAGGCTGTGCATACTTTGTTGTTTGCTTGTCTGTGGGCACGATACTTTTCACGTCCTTCTCCAATGGACAGGGTCAGTCACTCAGCTATGGTACAGCAGGGCAGTTGCAGCTGAAGGGGAGTTGCTGGGATAGGTTTTCTTTGTGGCATGTACCAGGGCTGACAGTGCGGACCGGGAATCAGTGCAGGGCAGGTTCCAGTAGGCCGTGCCTCTGTTGCTTGGGAGTGTGATGTTCAGTACACAGTGCAGTTAGGCAGGAAGGAGGAAGTAGATTGTGATGTGTGGAGCTAAGATGGTATGGGAAAGATGAGATAGAGGAGAGAGGGACAGGAGCCAAAGACATACACACAAACAAAAAAAAGTGCTAAGGGAGCTTGCTGTTGGAGTGGAGAGATGACAGACTGAGAAATGGGGGGGAAATGAAAAAAAAGAAAAAGGGTAAAAGAAAAAAATGAATAAATTGAGAAACTGGAAATGAAGAAAGGTAAAAAGGGAATGAGAGAGAAGAAAACTAAACAAAGAAATGGAAAAAAAAAACCCAGAAACAAGAAAAAAGAAACCTCCCCTAGGGATGTCCCTGTGCGTCTGCACAGAGTAAGGGACTAGCTCCAAGCCATGTGGTACTGCCCAGCTAGAAGGGGCTCCCAAGCCGAGAAAAGAAAAAGAAAACAAACAAATCAAAACAGAACCTATCAGAGCAAACAAACAAAAAAGCCCCGGAAGTCCCACCAGCGTGGCGGCACGGGCCAGGAAGCAGTTTCACAGTTGAGCGGTGTTCCCAGCCTTTCAGGAAGAAGCAAAGATGGCGCACGGAGCCAGGTATTTGAGAGAAAAGAGGGGGAGGTGGTGAGAGATAAGGAAGAAATCTAAAGAAGCAGAAAAAAGAAACACCAGCAGCCAACAAATGGCACTCAGGGAGCTGGCCAGTGCGGGCAGGTGGAATCCAAGAGGCACTGGGGGGAAGCTTGTGCTTCTCAGCCAGTAGATTGTGGCTGCAGAAAGCAGAGGAGGCTAAATGGTGGGTGAAGAAGGGTAGGGGGTGGGAAAGTCTATATCATGGGTTACCGGTTGTTCTGTCTCCTGCTGGAAGCTCCATGAAGCTGCTGTCTTGTACCTCCTGTTCACTGATCTCCGATAGGAGTCCAAGATGGCGGATCTGTGCTGTGTTAGCTGATAGGGGACCTCTGCATGTGTCTCTCCTCATGCTGTGTTCTTGGTCAGTTTCTTATTCCGTTCGGTGCTTGGCTGAGTTCTTTCTCTCTTCATTTGATGGTTAGGGTTTCAGGATTGACGTGTGACTCTGTTTGACTTAGTTTTTCTGATCTTTGCTGCGGAGGGACGGCATGGTGCTTCTGACTGTAGCGCCATGTTGCCCGGAAGTCCTAAGCTAGTTATGTTTTATAAACTTTTCTTCAAAAATAAAAAGAACTAAAATTACCTTAAGAAACAGCTTTTTGTCGGCTAAACTGAATTTTGTATAAGATAATGAATGGCTTAGGTTTAAAAAAAAGAAGCTGCAAAGTCACCTCACAATAAGTGATACAAGTCAATTCAAATTCAGATATTTGTAGTATCTTACTCTTCTTATTGTTTATAACATTAATATACCTACTAATGTAGATTACTGATGATTAGAAATTAAATAGAAACTACTGTGTCACAAGTTACAGTGACAAACTGTTGCATATAATTTCCTGGATGTTAAGTCCAAAGAAAACTACCTAAGTGTGATATTCAAGTTAGGGAAACATGTCCCCCATTTCACTTGAGAAAAACAGAGAGCGTCTCTAAGCAGCATCAAAATGAAAAGTTTGTTTGAACTGCTTTAGATAGCATTAGCTTTTAAAACTACACATTAGATTAAAATCTGTGCAGTTGTAAATTAAAACACTAGGTGGCATGTTTTATATAATTCAGAGTTTTAAACTGCAGTTAAAACTCCCCAAGACCTGTTTGTTTTTTGCATCCATGTCTTAATAGTAGTACTTTTTTTTAATGCTTTAAGCAAACAAACAGAATATTCTTTTTCTGTTATTATGGAGGCAGTTATTTTTCTTTGGTTGCATTGTTGCCTCTAGTAACAGATAGTTGTGGCATCCAATGAAGTGATTTCTTTCATTATTCATTTACTTGTATGCTTTTAGAATATAAATAACATAATGTAATGTAATATAAGAATTCATGTTAAAGATGATACTTTTATTTCTCAGCGATAATTACTTATTTGGCCTCTACCGTATTTTTACGCAAATAACGTGTACCTTCTACGTTTGTCTGCCAACCGAGCCCTCCTTCCACGAGGTTATTTTCAGAAGCGCCACAGAGCCATTTTTTTTTTTTTACATGTGCTGTCAAAAAAAATTAGCAAAGCACGGTTACAAAAATACCTCACGGGGGAAGGGCAAACAAACGTAGAAGGCATGCATTATTTGCAAAAAAATATGGTATGTCAAGTAGATGGTTTGGCTGTACATTTTACCTGTATGCTCTTAGGGAAGCCATGTTTCTCCTCTGAGCCTCGGGTTTTTCATTTGCAAAATCTAAATCTCTAACTTACAGGACTGTTTGAAAGTGTGAACTGTGATGATGCATTTTAAGTACTTTATACGTTGTAAAAGGTGTTATTAATGTATTCAAGCACTGTTGCCTACACTCTGAAATCTCCATTTTTTGAAGCTGATTTACAGGGATTCATGTCTGAGTTACTGACCTTCCTAAAGCCTCATCTCCAGCCCTCTCTGCAATCACATAGTCCATGTCAGTGGCTATCTGGGGTCTTCATAGAACAGGATGATGACATGCTGGAAGCTGCCAAAGCATTGCTGGGCATCTACCTAAGGCTGACCAGGTTGGTATAGTTGTAAGTAATTGTTGTACTACCTACATGCCAGGAAAGCAGAAAACATTTCTAATAATGAGCAGCACATATTATTTACTTTCCATCGTTCGGGGGAAAAAAAATCCCTAAAATGATTGTGGTTTCCTCATAAGTTCCAATTCCTTTCTTTAACCCTGCCTACATGAAAACAAGTTTACATGTGAGCTCTCTTTATGAAAAGTTGGATGGCTGGGCAGATTTGGGGTACTAGAACTGGACTGGGATGAGAAAACATGGGTTCTGGTTTAATCATTTTGCCTGTGTGATCAGGATCTTAATTTAGTGGATGTTTAAGAACTGTTTGCACCTTTAAGACCTACTGTTCTGTATTGAGCTTCTACAGACTTTAATTATGATTTTTGCCTTGTAAAGGTGAGTATGAACTTATAAACAATCAAAGAGATGCTCTGGATTTCTATTTTAATATACAGTTGAATTTGAGCTGATTATCTTCTTGAGGCCAGTATCTGAAATTGGTTAGGAAGTTATATTACTGATGACTTTTTATGCCGACCCTGTTTCTGCTTTATTAAAACAGATGTATTTGGGGTTATATATTCTTGTGTCAAATATCTGTAATTGGTTATGAAGTTAACTGATGATGACCTTTTACACTATTTCTGCTTCTGCTTTATTAAAGCCCTAAACTATTTGCTTTATTTCCATTTCTTTCTTGGCCTGGGCGAAAGGGATTTCTTACTTATGATTGTCGGTGTAGTATTTTTCTGCCAGTACTTACTTGTATTATGACACTGCTGGCAATGGCTGCTTTCAGACTATAAGTGTTTGGGGCCAATTTTCAAAAGGGTTCTAATCAAGAACACAAAATTCCTGCATGTGATTTGAATTAGGCTAAAACATGGTCAAATACAAATTCATCCGAAAATGCACATGCCGATTAGAGTATATCTTAGTTGTACTCACAGTTGGTTTCTTACTCCTCAGGATAGAGGAAGCTGATGAATTAAATTCACTCTCTCTGTGACTTTCTAACTTTCTTAGCTTCAGTATGTCCAGAGAGGCATGTGCTTGTGCTGTATGTGTTTTTTTTAATGTAGTTGTATTAGTTAAGATCTTTTCACTTGTAAAAAATGGAAACTCAAACTAGTCTAGGGGAAAAAGGAGGCGAGGAAGGGGGTTATTGGCTTATAATTGGACATTCCAAAGGGTTGAATTGGCATCAGGCATGATTGTGTGTACAGAGGTTCAAAATCATATCATTGATTATTTCTCTTTTTCTCTCACAGCTCTGAACTCATTCCTAGGCATGGCCACTCACAGTTCCAGGCTCATATCAATCAGCCTTACAGTTATGATCTTTAGTAGCTCCAGCAAAAGTTTCAGGGGAGATCTGATTACCTCACCTTGGGTCACAGATTCTTATCAGAGCCAGTCATGTGTCAGGAGCATAGAGTACTCTGGTCAGTGTGGGTCACATGCCCACCCCTGTTGAGGGAAGCGCAGCAGGAAAGGAGGAGAAAAGCCTCCAGCCCCACTGTACCACATAAAATTAGTTACCTGTAAGAATGAGGAGTGAGGCATTGATGGTTCAGTGGTAGAATTCTCGCCTTCCGTGCAGGAGATCCAGGTTCAGTTCCCAGCCAATGCACCACATGCGCAGCTACCACCTGTCTGTCAGTGGAGGCTTGCGTGTTGCTGGGATGCTGAACAGGTTTCAGAGGCGCTTCCAGACTAAGACGGACTAGGAAAAAAGGCCTGGTGATCTGCCTCCAAAAATCAGTCAGTGAAAACCCTATGAATCACAATGGTTTGATCCACAGTCAGTCATGGGGATGGCGCTGAACCAAGTAGTGTTTTGTTCCATCATCCATGGGTCGGGGCCAATGTAGCTAAAAACAAGAATGAGGAATTCTGCTCTCGAGAGAAGGGATGACACAGGACATTTGTTAGGTAGACAAAAACTCAGTGGACTTCATTTGCTTTATTGAATCAAATTTATTTAGCGTTTGTGGGGAAAAGAAGTGGTTTTGAATTTTTTTCTTTTTAAAGAATGAGTAGATTAAAAAGTAATTAACGACTGAATTGTATGGTATGTGAATTATATCTGTTAAAGCTGTTATTTAATGAAAGTAATTACCCTGGGTTCTCCATTATCTTTACTTTCAGAGAATGTCGTGAAGCTACTGAAAGCTCGGCCCAAGAAAAAGAAATGTGGAATCGTCACACCCATGAAAATGGCTATAATCCTCACTGCATTTTCTTGTTCTTCTTAAAAAATATAAGATTTGATTCTACAGTTCTTCTTGATTTTTTGATTTCATCAGAAACCTGTTTTCTTGAATATTTTGTTAGGTATTTAAAACTGCTCCAGAAGGACTGGCATAATTTTTTTACCATTTGCAAGTGCTTTGATGCAGCTGAATCAGAAGATAGCATAAGTATTTGTGGTCATATCCCCTCCCCTGTCCAAGCCAGAAGCACCAACCAAACAGAACCACATTATTGGACTGCTCTTGATAGTCACGTGGATGCTTGTGCCTCGGCCTCCTGGGCTTCTGATGCTTCTTCTGAACCCCTGAAGAGACAGCATGACACCCAGGCCATGATGTCCAAGGAGACCCATTCCAGGCTTCAGGTTGCTAGTCTGTCTTCCTCCCCTGCTTCTCAAAGTTTGGTAAATTATGACAGCTCTGATGATTCTGAGGTGGAATCCACAGACCAGTGCTTAGCAAACAGTAAGCAGACATCTTTACACCAAGAAGCAATTAAGAAGATTCAGGACACATCTGGAACAAGTAGGGGTGAAACAGAGCTAACCCTAGGCCTTCAATCAAGGCCTTTGGTTCCAGAAGAACCTAATTCTTCCTTCTCCATTGATTGCGAAGTAGCCCTAAATAGCATTGTCTCTGAAGTGGGGATATCTTACAGAACAGTTAAATGCTTTGAAGAGCTACAAGGTGCCATTTACCGTTTGCAGAAGAAAAATCTTTTCCCATATAATCCAACAGCACTTCTGAAGTTGCTAAAACCTATTGAGGCAAAATATAAGAGTATGAGCCCTTTGTAAAACAGTAGCATTGTACTTCCAGGAACTATTTTCACTTAATGTACAGCTTGCCTCAGTAAGATAATAGTTTTAAAAAACCTGCTCAAAGAGTTTTTTTCTTAAATCTTTTTGCCTACAGAAAGATGCATCAGATGACAGTCACTTGGTAACAAGTGTACACCACTTGAAGTTCATGGTTGTTCAAACTTACACAAAATTTGAGATGGTTAGTATCCTCCCCCCCCTCCCCGAGGTATTTAAATGTGATGTGATGTGTAAAAAAAATTTAAGATCCTGGTAGTTTTTTTAAGAGAGTTTTTCTATGAACATGGGTGCTTTTTTTTTTTATGTAAATCACTAGGTAATTTTCCTATTTAGATATTTTATATGGATAATTATCTTTTTGAGGGGAGGCAGTAAACTCAAGTTTTGCTGTGTTTATTGGGTTTGTGTCGCATGAATAGCAATGCTGTTGTTCTGCTAAATCTATCATTAAAGCAATCTGAAATGCTGTCCTTAAAAAGTATTTTTTTAATGATCCTTTTGTAGAGAAATAAAAGAACTAAACCTGTCAAACTTTAAAATATATTTCAAGGCTATGGTAATCAAAACAGTTTAGTCCTCACATAGAAATGGAAAGATCAGTGGAATGGAATAGAGAATTGCTGATTAAAATAACAGTGAATGACTGTGTTAACCAAATAGAAATACAAAAGTTAAAAAGTTTGGTAATACACACTGTTGGTAGACATATATACTGGGGAAGTTTCTACCATAATTTAAAAAGCACATATTCCTTGGTGCAAAATTCCACTTAGAGGAATATTCCCACATGAGCACGAAGAATGTAAATTGAAAGATCTTCAGTGCCACAGTGTAAAAGCAAAAGAGTAGAAATATTTGGTTACATAAATGATAATTTATTTACCCAGTAGAATACTGTATAGCTGTGAAATGAATAAGATGTATCCATGTTTGTGGATATGAAACAATCTTCAGTAAAAAACAAAAAGTGGATACAATGGACTCCCATTTGTTTAAGAAAAGATGGGGGCGGTGCATACGAGAAATACATACATAGGCTCACACATTCATATACTTACATGGTGCTTTTTTCCCTATTTTTATTGTAGAAATACAGATAACACAGTATTTGCCAATTCAGCATCTTCACAGGTACAATTAAGTGACACCAGTTGCATCAGTCATGTAATACATATGCTTTTATGTGTGCCTAAAATATGTACAGAAGAATATTTAAGAAACTCCTATCTAATGGTTACCTTGAGAGACAGTCTGAAGATTTGACTTTGCATTTATACAGTCTTCCCTGGGTATCCCCAGGGGACTGGTTTCAGGCCCCCCCCTACCGGTACCAAAATCCAAGGATGCTCAAGTCTTATATAAAATGGTATATATAACCTACCACACATCCTCCCTATACTTTAAATCACCTCTAGATTACTTATAATACCTAAAACCCATTGCCGTTGAGTCAATTCCAACTCATAGCAACCCTAGGACAGAGTAGAACTGCCCCATAGAGTTTCTAAGGAGTGCCTGGTAGATTCCAACTGCCGACCTTTTGGTTAGCAAAGGTAGCTCTTAACCGCTACGCCACCAGGGTTTTCCGTGATACCTAATAGAACAGTGTAAATGCTGTGTAAGTAGTTGTTAATCTTTACACTTAACACTTAATGCTTTCTCAGCCTTTGCCAGAACTTCATCACGAACCAGAGAGACTGTTTTTGGCACTGTAGGGGCAGCACTAACACTTGCACAAATTTCAGCTTCTTTTTGCTTTATTGTCCAATTGCTCAATTCATTCTTACGGACCGTACGGCCCACTTCTTCAAGCGACATGCCGCTTTTCAAAAGAGCTAGGATTTTAATTTTCTCATTGAGAGAGAGCACTTTATGCTCCCTCCTAGCCTTTCAGGGATTGCTTTTTAGGAGCCATTTTTTACAGAAACAAAAAGCGCACACAACACAAGTAGCAAACCAACGAGATGCCAGGCAAACAATCCTCAAACGAGTGCTGGAGAGAGACTGAGGAGCTTTGAAATGGCGGGAGCTACAGCAGGGGATGCTACACATCACTGCATTCAGTGGAGTGCTACGCGTGCGGACACATTCAAGTTTTGCTTTGAACTTTTTTCCCAAATGCGTTCAATTGGCAGTTAGTGGAGTCTGCGGGATGTGGAACCCACATGGAGGGCTGACTGTATATCCTTTTGTACTGTTTTATTTATTTTTAACTACGTACATATATTTTCTTAATGAAAATAATTTTTAAAAAAGCAAAAAACAAATTCTGTCCTGAAGGATACATAAATGCTGAATGCATTAAAACTCATGCAGATGTGCTTTTGAGTCATGTTTCTCTATAATGTTAATAAAGAACCATCAGCCCCTTGTTAGATCTAAAAACAAAACAAAAGGCAATCTTATACTAAGTGCTGGTATTTCAGCATCTCTACATATATATAACTGACTCTTGGATATAAGTCGGTTCATCACACACTCACCAAGCCCCACTGTTGGCAAAGGTGACTGACGTTGGCTGTGCGGTGACTGTCCTTGGCGTTTGAGAGTATACAAGGGCTGTTCTCAGAGTTGGGCAGAAAAGGAGCACGTAACAAGTGACATTTGCATAGTGAGTTCCCAGTATCCCCAGTGAGCAGTCATAACTCTAACCTTCTCCAAGTAAAAAAAAAAAAAAAAAAAGCCCATGTGACTCCAAGTGAGCAAAAAGTGTCATGAATCTATTCTTTTTAACAAAGTATAGCAGATACAGAAAAGCACACATAAGTATACAGCTTGATGAATTTTCACAAACAACACAACCATGTGATCAGTACCCAAACCAAGAAGCAATGTTAGTGGCATCCCAGAAGTCCCCTCTGTGTCCGCTTCCAGTCACTATCCACCCCAAAGGTAACCCTAACCTGATTTGAGACAGCATAGATTAGTTTCGCTGGGTTTTCTTTTGTATAAATGGAATAATATTCTTTCTTGGCTAGCTTCTTTTCATTCAATATCATTTGGAGTGTATTCTGATCTGTTTTTTAAAGTAATTATCAGGCAGCTGCATTTCGGCTATTAATTGGTAACAGGTTACTTTTGACTCCTCATCTGTGGCACACCCAGTGTGCCAAGATGATGCAATGGGCAAACACTGGTCAAAACAAACTACAGACTCGAACAGGTTATGCAGGGCCTTGTGCAATTGGCCCCAGCCTGCTTCTGTAGCCTCACCTACGGTTCTCCCCACCCACTGTTCTTAGCAGCACAACATTTTGCCCTATGTATTCACTCATCAGGAGCCATGCTGGCACCGTGGTTAAGAGCTCAGCTGCTAACCAAAAGGTTGGCAGTTCGAATCCACTAACTGCTCCTTGGAAATCCTATGGGGCAGTTCTACTCTGTCCTATAGGGTCGCCTTCATGGATTGAATTGTGTCCCCCCAAAATAGCTGTCAACTTGGCTAGGTCATGATTCCCAGTATTGTGTGATTGTCCACCATTTTGTCATCTGATGGGATTTTCCTATGTGTTGTAAATCCTATCTCTATGATGTTAATGAGATGGGATTATCAAAAGTTATGTAGACTCAATCTACAAGATTAATCTACAATTTAAGCCAGTCTCTTTTGAGATATACAAGAGAAGTGAGCAAAGAGACGGGGACCTCATACTACCAAGAAACAAGAACCAGGAGAATAGCACGTTGTTTGGATCCGGGGTCTCTACGCTGAGAAGCTTCTAGATCGGGCCTTCCTCCAAAGCTGATAGAGAAAGCTGTCGCCTGGAGCTGATGCCCTGAATTTGGACTTCTAGCCTACTAGACTGTGAGAGAATACGTTTCTCTTTGTTAAAGCCATCCACTTGTGGTATTTCTAGATTTCACTAGATAAGTAAGACAGTTGCTATGAGTCAGAATCTACTCGACGACAACACGTTTTCACTCATCAAGCCCCATCTTATATGTTAGCTCTGTGAAGCATTCCCCATCTGGTTGAAACTATTAGATTTTACATACTTTGTATTCTCTGCACTTGGCTCATTCCTGTATTATAGCATTTGACATGTTGTGTATTAATCATTGGTCAGCAGTTTTTCTTCTTCACCAAGCTCCTTGGGAGCAAGAATTAGCACACCTTTTATCCATTGTCTGCATTCTAGGCACACCATTAACATTGAATAAATGAGAAGAGCTTCTCCAAGGACTTGATCATCTACAGAGGGAGACAGATGTGCAGAGAATGGTAAGCGTTAATGCTTACATTGCGGTTCCTATGAGGCAGCCACTCTTCTAAGTGCTTTGCACGAGTTCACTCTCCTAATTTTCATGCTAATGCTAGAAGCTTTTGCAGATGAGAAGACTGGCACAGAGGGAATAAATAACTTGCCAAGACTACCTAACTGGTAAAGTGGCAGAACTAAGGGATACAGGTAGTCTAATTCCAAAGTCCTCTCGTTCTCCTCTCCATAATTTATGCCTGTCTTTAAAGCAGAAGATGATGCATGTGACTATCTAGAATTGTTGCAGCTGTAGGCCTGTGTAATAATGGGATGATGGTAGGCATGTGTAATGGGATGATGGCAAGGCATGCTAGAAAGGTATATTGGGGTCAAATCATCAAGACCTTGGGTGTTTTGACTATTCTGCAGGCAATGGAGAGCTGATGAGGTTTTGGGTAAATGCCCGCTTTTGTGTTTGAACAAACTGTGTAGCAATATACCGGCTAAACTGGCAGGCAGAAAGATTGGAGTCTATTGCAGAAGTTCCACAAAAGGCAGGGACAGTGGGAATGGAAAAGGGGGGATCAAGGCCTTCTGGCTGAAATCCTGCATCAGCCTTCTCTCCTCCAGAGTCCCACACAGGCAGTAGTAGAGGGGGCCAAAATCAGCACAACAAGAATTGGAGGGACAACACAGGAGAGGGAAAAACCATTGTTAAAGCTAAAAAAAGTAGATAGGTGACTGCTAACCAACTTAAGCAGTCCCAAGAAAGCCAAATCCTAGCTGGCATGGGGGAAAGCTGGGAAGCAGCCTGATTTACTAGGCAGATCCCACTGAAGGCTCAGGAGTTTGTACTATTAAGTACACATTATGTACCAAGGGTGGTTGATTGAAAGCCTATCCAAGGACCAGGTGGAATGATTTGCATATAGGTGTTAACGCAAATCATGGGGGAGATATGACTGCCCTGAAGGTCTAGAAAGAAAAAAGGCCTGGATAGAAGAGGAAAGCAAGCAAAAGAAATTACAGAACAAGAAATAATATGAGGAAACAAGGGAACTTAGAAGTAGGCCTTTGAGAAGAAAGGGAGTCCCTGGGTTGTGCAAAAGGTTAACATGCTCAGCTGCTAACTGAAGGGTTGGAGGTTCGAGCTCACCCAGAAGTGCCTCAGAATAAAAGGTCTGGCCATCTACTTCCAAAAAACCAACCATTGAAAACCCTGTGGAGTACAGTTCTACTCTGACACACATGGGGTCGTCATGAGTTGGAATCACTTGATGGCAGCTGGTACTGGTTGAGAAGATAAAGGTATATGGAGTTAAGCACCTCTAAGAGGAACAGTAGGATGGGCTCTGAGAAGACACTGGGCATTCTGACCATGAGGAGTTTGTTGGTGACATCTGAGAGCAATTTTATTTGGATTACATGGTTCAGACCCAAGTGTGCAAGGGAAGGGAGGAGGTAGAAACCACACACGTACAGTGGTTTTCAACTTATTTGCATTCTCTGTGCCCTCGTGAATACTGGAATTTTTTGTGGTACCCTTAAAATAATTGAAAGGCTGAAACACCAACATCCAAGTCAGAAATAGTTATAACACAATCACTGAAAGCAATGTTCTCACCTATTCTGGTCAATAAGCATCTTCTCAGGCTCTAGCTTGACCTGCTTGCTGCTGCTGCTCCTTCGTCTTTCTCCCAGGACATCTGCATAACACAGCCCACTCAAGCTTCTTTCAGGAGACTGGACTGCCCATGTGTTTGGGAACTTGACCTAAATATTAAACTTTAATTGGTCTCCATTGTCACTTATAGAAGCATATAAAGTTGTCTCAATTTATTAAAATTCCCACTTGAAAATTTTAGTTGATACAATGCCTTTTCTGATTATATTACCATAGGTCAGCCTAGCAAACAAATTCTTGTTTTTCTGATTATACTAAGAGAGGTGGAGCTGTACTTGGATCAAAGCCTTTACAGTTAATGCTATGTATCCCCTCCTAGCAGCAAAGCTCATTCTTATAATTTTTTTCAAGGAATTTCACTAAACTGTAGTCCAGTTATTTGCCACATTGGGTAAATTACCTGCACATTACACTCGTGCATTTCCTTTTCAGGACTTTGCTTTGTTTCCAAAGTACTGTTCTCTGATTTTTAGAAGAATTAAGAAATGGAATGTTTTCAGAGCATGATTTCCTTTCCCGTGAGAAAGGTTCAGATGTTTTTGTCTGATTTGAGACAAGAGTCTACCTAATTATTGAAGGCTATAGAGTTT